GGTCCAGAGCTAGGAGGAGGAAAGCAAGACACGCTCAGCCGCTCGGAGCCGTGCCCTCGGGAGGCCCACAGCTGGACAAGGATCCAGGCCATGGTTTGGCACTGCCGGCCTCCTGATCCACCCAAGGACAGCAGAGCCCAGCAGGCGAGAGGAGCGAGTCCTCTGTCACGCCGACTGATGGCAGAGGAACTGCTGCCCTGTTCAGGGAGGAGGCTGGGGCAGGAGCAGGGAGTCACCCCTAACCCTGCATCGCCTTACTCAGCCAGGCAGGAGCCCGCTCTCACCTGCCTGGTCTGCATGGAGCCACAAGATGCAGGAATGGGGGTATTTCAGGGGCCCACCTAAGGGCCCCCCACCTTCCTCCTCCTGCTGCTGGTGCAAGATTTCACTGTGGGGGATCCCCGTCTGTTCAAACACTTGGAGGCTCCTGTAAGCAGAGACAGACAGAGCTCAGAGGCTGGGCGAGGATGAGCTTTTCCATTTCCCCAGCAGCCCGGGGGGCTCCAGCAAAGGGAACCGCAGACACTTGCTGGGATCCAACCCTCTCATGGGGGGGGGAGGGCAGGTTTCAGCCCCTTCCCGTGCCCGGCAACCCGAGCACACCCAGGTCCTGGGGGTACAACGCAGTGCAGAACACAGCGATGGCACCCGAGGAGCCCAGAGCACAGCCGCCCACTCCTGCCTGGCACCGGGACAAGCCCCGCAGGGGATGAGGTTCTGGCTCCAGCCCTGCCCTTTCCAGCCAGGCAGGGCTGTTAGGAAGGGGCCGCGAAGCGTTGCTGCCGGCCTGGCCCAGCCCAGCCGAGGAGGTGGAGGAAGCTGCGCAGGGTGCCCAACCCTCTGTCTCCCTGCAGCGTGCGAACGGGGTGGGCGGCATTCTGCACCCCCCAGGCCAGGGCTCGGCTGGGATGGGCCCGTCGAAGCAGCAAGCCTGGTCTTGCTGCCGCGCTGTTCCCACAGAGCTCAGGTATGTTACTCAGCCAGCACGGCAGCTTGCTCTTTAAATAGCTCCAGATAAACCCTGCTGCTGGGGCACCGCAGCAGGAGCAGCCCCGCTGCACACAGGCCAGGAGCAACGCGCGGTCCCAGTCCCCAAAGCCAGTTCAAGCTGGGGGCTGCACGGCCAAAGGTCTCAGATCCCAGACAGCCCCCCAACACCAGCGCTCCAAGGTCCCCAAGCACCTCTCTGAGAGGCCAGGAGCACCCGCCCGGGATGGGAGAGCCCACCTAGGGAAGGGGTGCTGGGCCTGGCACCTCCTGACCCTGGCACGACAAGCTCACCTGGCCACTTTGCGCTTGTCGTGGGGGTGCAGCTTGGCCGCCATCTCTGGGTCCACCTGGCTCAGGCGGCGATGGAGCTCGACACCGTCCAGCTGCTCCAGCTCCACCTTCCTGTCGCCGACCAGCCCGGGGGCTGTGCTGGCCTTCTCCTGCAGAGAACAAGGCAGCCCTGAGTCAAGCCACTCATCCACGAGCAAGGCCAGCAGCAGCAAGACAATCCCCCAGACCCATGGAGTGAACGAGGGGCTTCTGGTTCTCCTCACCCCACTCCAGCAGAGGGAACACCATGCCCAGTCGCAGGAAGCCTGCCCTGACCATGGGGCTCACCCTTTCCCAGAGGGGTACACAGCCCCCCAACGGTACCTTGGTGTCGATAAGGACCTTCCAGAGCAGGGACTCGATGTAGTAGTTGGTTCCTCCCACAACAATCGGGATCTTGTCTCTGGCAAAGATATCTTCAATGTGCCACAGTCAGGGAGCGTAAGCAGAGGTGGACGGCAGGGAGGGAGGGCTGTGGAGAGCGGCAGATCTTCCCCAACCACCCCTGAGGCAGAGCTACCCTCAGCATTAGCTGGGAAAAAGCAGCTCCAAGCCCCCTCGCCAGCAGTATCCTCCGAAAAGCGGAGTTAGTCGCGGTGTGGAGAGCCCAAGGCTGATGCAGACACTGAACTCTCCTGCAGGCCTGGCCGCGGAGGGGGAAAGTCCATATCCACTCAGCCAGGCAGGCTGCAGCGTGAAAGGATATCAGAGCCACGGCTCTGTCTCTGAAATCCACCACCGTGTAGTCAGAGACGAGGGGATCCACAAAGCTGATCATGTGGTGCCTGCACAGCCGCTGCTCCTGGGGAGAAACCTTGTTCGTGATGATGTCCAAGCCCTTGTACACCTGGGGAAGAGATGAGCCCGTCATTCACCTCTGCGCCCCACGAAACCTGCACCGACCACCGCTCCTTCCTCCGTGCACAGCCGCTGTCGGCCCCGTGCCCCTCACCAAGCCCCTCGCTGGGCTCTGGAGAAGCCGGCAGCACCGGCAGTCCGGGACG